GGCACACAGAAATATAGCTAATAAAAAGGATAAAAAAGGTCTTGTAGATTAATTTTCTCTAATCCTGCATAAAATAATTTTAAGTGGTGTAGCTATTGAGGATTCCTATTGTTTTATTTTATTTTTAAGCCTTTGTACAATGAATTTTATATAATTGACAACACAAATATGTGTAAATTATAGTAGAGTATTGTAACAGAAAGACCAGTTACCGAATGAATTTCTTCAATGTAGGTACTGATTTAGATAAATGCCTTTACTACTAAAATTGTAAGATGGAACTTGTTTACTTATAATACTAGCTTTTATATTTATATGTCATTTGTTGCCACCTGTCACATACAAGCTCTTATTATATATATACACATTTGTAAGTATGAAACAGCATCCTGTATAGAAGTGTAATATATGTTATATTATCTTGTTGGCTGTAGGTCAGTCACAGAAAATACGAGCTTTTATTATATGTACACATTTGTAAGTGTGGAACAGCATTCTGTATAGAAGTGTAATATATGTTATATTATCTTGTCGGCTGTAGGTCAGTCACAGAAATGAATGTAGTTTAACATTTTTACATGCATTTTTATAATATTGTGGTTATTGTATAATTATGATGTTCATGTTACAGTATGTACGACATCATTTTTGTACATGTAAAAACTGTGATTTTGTTTGACTAAACAAATGAATTTTGTGCAAAAATATGTTGAACTGAATCTGTGCTTGTATGTATGCGTGATATAGTGTTATGTATAGTAAGCAGGTCTGCATTAAATACTCACGCCCTACCTGTGTGTTCCTATCTTGGATCTATGCCATATTTCCTGCACCAAAGTGGCCTTGTCCGGTCTTAACTGTACATGTACCTACATGCAGTTGTCTGTGTGTATGGTCATGTGACCTTGTCTTTAGCAGCACCTGCACAAACTGTGGGGTGTTCCTGCTAAGGCTAGCTCTACTAGTGGATATTCCTCCATATATGGTATGAATATTCAAGGGTTGTCTCATTTCACAGTTGTATAGACATTGTTTACCTGGTCTGCTGCACACCTTCACTTAATTTAATTATTTCAGTGATGATTTTGAAAGAAGTCTCTGTAGTTTAAATTTTTATACTTCACTTACATTTTCTTTTTGATATCAACTCAGTTTTTGTTGTTTTTTGCACTTAAACTATTAAATGAAAATCATTATAGCATCATCTTTAGTGATTTTGGTTTTTGTAGCATTGTGTTTTCAGATGAACAGTTTCATTGTACTGTAGGGTCAGCATCATTCTCATATCTGTTCATAATGTTTAGTAGAATATAGGTCACATTTACAAGCTTTTGTTAGAATATTTAAATACAGCATCAGACAGTGGTGTAACTTTGGTTTCAAAAGTGTGGAACAGAGGCTATAGCTGGGGCAAGATGATTATTCAATAAAAATATAATTGAAATGTGATAAAACTGTTGTAGACCATACACCATCAGCAAACCTCAAAACAAGTTACTTGGGTAACTTAAAAATATAATATTCCTGTTGAAATATAAGGAGAGTAATCCCTTCATAATGAAACAGTGAGACATGTTTCATGTGTAAATTGTTGTGTCTTCAGTAAAAAAGAAATATCTAATCAGGTTTAGGGCTATTACATATTAAAATGGAGTGGGATTATTTTTGTATTGTACCAGATTGTGACTTACTAAAACTCATAATTTTGACCAAAGCCATGTTAGAAACATTAACTAACCAACATAACTTTTCTACATAAGCTATATTTTCTTCCTACAGCTCTTTTAAAAAGTGTTCCTATAAATTTAGTGAACCAGTTTCTAAACATTAATATCTTACCACTACATCCCTAAAAACTTCCAGATCCCTCTAGTGGAAAAGGGTTTTATACTTTCAGATAAAATTATTTTGTAATGTTTTGGAAGTCATCTCATATAAAACATTTATAGTAATAATCAGTTTTTGAAAACATTCAAAACGTGAGTGAACGTTTTGTTGGAAGAAGGAAAAAACTTTAGACTTATGAAACGGGGCTGTGTGTACACCATTTAAATTTCTATAATTAGTTAATTTAGATACTTCTTTCTAGCTTGAATACTGTGATGACTTTATATTAGCATAAAACATAACACACAAAACACCTTATCCAAGTTTCACTTGCAGGCATGGGCTTAAATGACTTAAATTAATCATTTAAAAAGTTCTTTAGACAAATCTTAAGACTAAATCTTGCTTCTTCCCACTTAATTTTCTAAAGACAATGACCACATTTTAAATGAGCATTAGTTGTAACCTCTATGTTTGAATTATGTACAGGAGTATAGTTTGCTGCTACATGTAAATTTATCTGATTTGTTAAGTCATTTATGTGAGTTATGTCTACTTGTAAAAAATTTCTGATTTTATTTCAGAAAAGCAATTGAAGATATATTTATATATTACACACACATCTATGTGTGCATAAAGGAAGCAAACCTTCATGTGTAAAACATTTAATTCTAATACTTCTTTTGGATGTATGCTTTAAAAATATCCTCTGATCTTGATCTAATGGCATACTCTATACATACCACTGTTTTAAGGAAGAAAATAAAGTGTTGTTTTAACTAGCAGGTTACCAGTCCTTGTCATAAGTTGAGCTTTGCCAGTTGCAAGTGTTACAAAGATTGTAAAGTTATGTATGTGCATATGAGAGTTAAGATGAAAGTCATCTATAACTTAATATTTTTGTGTGTTGGACAGAACTCTGCTTTCAGGAGGAAAAATTGTTCGAAAAAGGATGAAGTTTGTGGTTGTTTCCTTGATTTATTGTATAAATACAAATTAATAACCATTGTATATTTATTTCTTTATGCAAAATCTTATCAAAAGGCTAATCTAGGTTCAGTCAACATTACAACATTAAGTTGTCTCAAAGTAACAACTGCAATATGTTTTAAAGATTTAAAGACATTTTAACTTAACAGTGAATAATTTGTCTATGAATCACAGAGAACTAACATTCTTCCATGCAAGGTATGAGAAATACTTTATGCGAACATTTAAGAGAGTATGGGAAATAAATGTGAATAGTAAATTCATAAGTTATGAAATTATGACAAGATCACTGTCGTAGAAATAATTTCAAACAAAACTGTGTGTTTAGAATTCTTGTCCTTATTGTATAGATAAGAAGCATGAGGTGAGAGCAGGAGCAAACTAAGGGATCAAAATTAGAAAGTAATTGTAGGAACAACAATATTTGTAGAATCATTTGTGTGCAGTTTTGACTCGTGGGTACATCCCTGTGAGGTATTGAAATTGTGTAGGGTATAATGGTGTTTGTAAAGCATTCCATTAATTAAATATATAATTAAACATAAAAACAGGTAGGTGGTTTTTGTTGTAATTTATTCAGATATGTATAGATTTGTGGAGCAAGAAGAAACTTATTTTACTAGTTTTATGTAAGTATGCTCCTTTAACTTATTTCCAAAAATAATGTGCTTAATCTATTTGTTTATATTGTGCTTTGCTTATAGTAGTAACCATAACCACAACATAGGATAGAGAAAAGTGTTGTTTATGACAGAGCTATCAAAGATGAATCTTGTTGGGCCAGTCAGATTTTCTTTTATCTGATTGAGTCTTGGGTTTGCAGGTCAAAATTTTAGTTTTGTAGCTCAGTTTGAGAATTTTTGGTCAGTTTTTGTTGAGTTCATTCAGCTCTAGTTGCAAGTTAGTTTTTAATTCAGTTGTAACTCTTTAGCTTGTGTGCAAGTGCTTTCTTTTGTTGTTGTTTTTCTCTCTAGGTTAAGTTGTTTTGGATATATGCAGTCTTCTATTTGTAAATTACATTGTTCTGGAATATCTTCTATCCCTGGGCTCAGAGTTAAGTTGTTCTGTAACACTACTGTCTTCTCACAAGTTATACAATTTGTGTTTGTTACTGAGATAGTGAGAAATTGAGATGCAGTTTCAGTAGATTAGGTATGATTGTAATTTTCTCAAAGAAATAATGCAACACAGTGTTTACTGTTTTCTTAGTAACATAGTAATACTTTGTTTAATAATAATGATGAGCCTCTTTCTCAACATAATGTAGAACATTTCAAATATGCATCACAATTCATGGAATAGCTTTTGGATAATTAAAATCACACCAAAAGTGAGTATGCTACTCTAAACCTGCTGCAAATAATGACCTGTCATCTCTATTTCCTTCTGACACTGACCAGTATCTTGGTTTCACCTGTAAGCAGTTCTTGGAACTTCTTACCCTCTCCATAAGGTTAAACCATTTCCTCTTTAATGATGTCACTTATCACCAGATAGAGGGAATCCCCACTGGGTCCAACAGTAGCCAATAGTTTTATATGCTACCATGAATGCAAGTGGCTAGAAAACTGCCCATGTGACTTTAAACCAGTCCTTTACAAATGCTATATCAATGACACTTCCTTTTTATTTCAAACAATCGAGTCACATTTTCAATTTTCTTTCTTACCTTAACTCCCAACATCCCAGTATCAAGTTCATATCTGAACTTGATATTTACATTTCTGGGCCTTGCATTTGGGAATTCCCACTTTTCCCTTTATCTTGTGACAGAATGTAATGACTTTAGCCTCTGAAGCCACATAACAATAAGCTAAGTATCAGATGATTCTAAATTTTTGGAAGCCAAGGCATCACAGCATTATATCTGAGGAACTGTCATAATGAGGCAGTACTGTATTTTCCTGGATAATATTGGTCAATATTTGTACAGTCCAAATAAAGTTGAATTATTATTTTTTACTTAAAACCACTTTCTCCCAACTTTTCATGAAATTTCTTGTGTAGGTCCTAGAAGCCTAGTTTAATTGAAGACAAATGGACTATATGAGCAGTGGCATCAGTATCACTATATTTATATGTGTATATATATATCCAAACAATTATGAATAAGAAAATGCTTGTTATGCAATCTCCTTTGCTTATGTAATTTGTATTTACACATTTATGTATTTTTATATTAGGAAGTAGGTTCATCCATGGACTCCAGTTCATTATCTGTCAACCCTGAAACATTGCAGTCTCTGACAACTTCTTGTACCACTCTTATACCAGCACTTTCACCTCTTTGCAGTGGAGAAACTCAATCTTCTTTGAAAACTGTATCAAATAATTCCTTATCTCCAGCTAGACCTGGTGGACAAGAAGGTGAAAGTGATGAAACATCAGACAGTTTTCATACCATAAAGGTTGGACATAACTTTACATGTACCATTAAATGAATATAGTACATATAAATGTAAATGCAGTATATATCCTGCACCAAAAAAAATATAATGTTATTGGAATTAATAATATTTTAGCTAAGACAAGGCATAACTGCTGTTATAAAATAATGTCAGTCACCCCCTCAGCTCAGTTTTATGCTTATCGGGCATTTGGTTATCTTGCATATATTGAAAAATACAAGTGATTGGTCTTTCATTATATATTTCACTTTAGTATGAGTATAATTGCTGCAAACACAATGGCAGTGTGACACCAATGTTGCATGCTTAAAATCAGAGTGTTGGTAAGATAATAGGATGTCTTTGAATATTCTGAAAGAGTGGTTTCCACAGCGTCTTTACTCTTTGGAACCACCTGATGAGAATGAATAAATTCACGAAGAGCATGTTATATGTACGTGATAGGATTTAAGTCCACTGAAGGTACAGTTAACTTCATTTGATCTATCCCTGCATTTTGGGGTTGGTCATATCATTCATTATGCTGAAATCAGGGCTAATTGTACCAACACGTAACAACATGAAGGATTGTAGAATGTGGTGTCTATAATGTGTGTTATTAATGGTACCGTGCTCAGGATGTAGTAATTAATATATCCACTAATGATTTTTCCTCTCCATGCCTTTACTTCCATCACTGCCATATATCTCATGTTTGTATATAAAAATTGAGTTAGATCTGTCTCCAGATGAATATACATCTGTTATCTAGAAGCATAATTGATCTGTGACATTAACATGGCTCTACACGTCATTGGTCCACTGGATGTGTTCTTGGCACCATTGCATATATTTTGTGGCTTGCTGCAAGTAGAATATGACTCACTGAGTGTCTGGTATACTAACCAGCCTTGCAGTTGCATCTGTTAATATCTTGAAATGGCTACTTTTGATTACAGTAACCTAGAATTGATCCTATTGGTAGTTTCAGTGTACAAGAAAATGATTTAATCATAACCATCCTAACATAACATCATTTTTTTTTATTTTTAAAACATACTTTGTCAAATTGGGAAAACTTGAGCTCCATCAGACAGATTATGAATAATTAACTAGATGGCAGTAAATTCCATTTTGACTCAAATTAATAAACTTCAAAGACCCAAAACCTTATTAATATTAATTAATGTGCATTTTTCTCCTTATCATTCTGTTCTTTAATAAATTTTTGTTACTAATTCTTGATGATATATCCTTAAGTTAACAGAGCTAACCACCGATGAAGAGTCTACTCGAAGCGAACCTTTAAATGATAATGAGTCTGCCCTTCTACCAAAACGAGTTCGTATTTTTGAAGGAGGATTCAAGTCAAATGAAGATTACACCTATGTTCGTGGTCGAGGACGGGGAAAATATGTTTGTGAAGAATGTGGAATTCGCTGTAAAAAACCTAGCATGTTGAAGAAGCACATCCGAACTCATACAGATTTACGGCCTTTCAGTTGTTCGCATTGTTCATTTGCTTTTAAAACAAAAGGCAACTTAACCAAACACATGAAGTCCAAAGCTCACCACAAAAAGTGTGTGGAACTTGGTATAGTTCCTGTTCCTACTACTATAGATGACTCCCAAATTGATGGAGAAGCACTAGCTAAACAGGTTTGTGACTTTATTGCAGTAAACATACACATATATCTCCATATATTTTACTTACAATGAAATAATGTCATCTGATATGTTACTAAAAGAAGTAACTGGTTAGTTGTTCCTGTGAATCAAAACTACTGGACAAGTTCAAATGAAACTATGAAAAACAGTGGTGGTTTATATAACAAAGTTACAGTGGGAAATAGTTATTATTTTTCGTTATTTAAGCAGTATTGCTACTGCTATTTATCCGATAACGAACTCTCCAGCAGTGTTTCCGGTTAATTTAATTGGTTGAGGAACTAATATATCTCAACAACTAAAATATTTCATAAAGAAAAGTTAAAAGAAATTTATTTTCATTGCTTCATATACTTATATAATGGTTGAATAAATATTTTCATCTCATCATATTGTAGTCAAATTGTTCATCAGATTTTAGAAGTATTTGCATTATGTGGAATTTTTTCTTTTAAGAAAAAGTTTGTATTCTTTCCAGTCATTGAGAAAGTAATCTTCTCTAACAAACATGATTTTATACCAGTAAATTTTACTTGCGTAAGTGTAAGACATAGCATTAAGGGGAAGTTTGAAATGTGCACCAAAACATAGACATCTAAAAACAAAAAGTTCTTTGAAAAATTATTTATAATTGCTGATAATAACTAATAAATTCAACAGTCACAAAACTGAACTTAATAAACAAAAATATTAATAAGAAGAAAACAAGGAACCTAACTTTTGTTATAAGGATCAGTCTCAAGGACTTAGAGAAAAAGTAGAGAAACCAGTTTTAAGGAGTTATACTTGTTCTTCTACCCTGTTTACATTGCTTATTTTGCCTGACATATTCAATTTTGTGTATATACACAAGTTAATTTCCTTATATACTCAGGTGGAAAGTCTGCTTTCTTGTGTTTGTTTTATATATATTGTGGACTTTATCCTAACACACACACACACACATATATGTATGTATGTATTTATAAAATATGATAATTATTAATTTTTCATATCATCTGCAGTTGGTAAAGAAGAAATTAAGTTGATGTATACATCTAGTATTTCTACTGTTATAAGACAGAATTCTTGATGAACATTTATTCCTGAATTTACTTACATATGTATTTCAAAATGTGTTGTGCATACTGGAAGTACTTGCACACATTTTAATAAAAAAGTTAGAAAAATAAGGACCTTTATACTCCAGATAATTATAAAAGAACTTTTTATTTGAACTAATGTTTTGCCTTTGTGGCTTCCTCAGTTTTAGTACATACAAGTGTTTGATATTAAAATATTCATTAAATTAATTAATATTCTAATATTAAAAAGTTGTATGTACTAAAACAGATGAAGCCACAAAGGCGAAACATTGGTTAAAATTAAAAAGTTCTTTCATAATTATCTGGAATATAATTTTTTTTTCTGACATTTTTAGCAAAATGTGACGTGTATTAATAACATTGCAGTATTAGCCTAATTATAGAGCGATCTTGAATATAAGATGACTCCATTTCCAGAAACCATGAGAAAGAAGTAAAATTGAGTGTCATAACATCCTTATTTATATGTGCAAAATGCCTTTCTTGTAGAATATGCATTAAGGAGTTCAGTCCTTTGGTTCCACCAAGGCCTCACATTATTTTCAGTTACACCAAATTTTCTAGCAGCAGTCAATTGTTTATTTTTTTCCACCTCATGCACACCATAATTTTAAAATTTGCATCATAACTCTATTGTAATTCTTTGTTAATTTAACATTTCCTTGTTCCCTGTCTTTCAATGTGGTCACTCATTCTTGCACAAGGGTTAATCACTGAAATCAGACTCAGTGATAACAATTATTATAAAATTTAAAATGCTAATAATGCACCATCAGAATCAATGCTATAACTGAACAGACTGCAGGTGTATTAGTTACAAGAATTAATGATGGTCTTGAGCAAACATCTGGTGCACATGTGTAGATGGATGCTATCTGAACATTCAGGAATGCAACAGGCTAGAGTAGGGGGAAGGGGCCTGTGGTCGCCTGAGATTATAAGGTGACTATGAATTTTACAGCCTAATTATCAATCAAAAATCATCGCCTTGTAATCGGATGAATACAATATTTCAAAGAATTATTTAAACAGTTTAAGAAATGAAATTATGTGTAAAAAGATCAACAACAGATATTTTGCATTTTTAGTCTTTTCTTTAGTTGAGTACCCCAATTGTATTAATACTTTGTACTGAAACTTCTTTTGACAATTTCTTGTTTATTTATAACCTAACACAACTGTTATGTATAAATATGTTATTTCTACCTAGTTTTGTTATTAAATTGAAATAATGTGAGTTGAAAATTAAAAAAGCATAATCACTTATTATGGCCCACAATAAAAATAACTTTTTGTTAAATTGTGTGTTACTTATAAAGAAGTTTCAATACAAGCTCTGATGAACAATATTGATTCTTAGAGTTAGAACATATCATTTTTATATCAGATTTAACACTTTGGTAAAGAAAATTGTCTACTTACATTATAAAAGTTAATAGACAAAAGTGGCAGTTTTGTTGTTGTTTTTATTTCTAGTTTAACATGTATCCTAACAAAATTCATAGCTATTGTAAATTTGACAGATAAGAGAGCAGTGAAACTATTTTCTGTTGATGTTTTTAAACTTGTGTAGTAACTTTTGCACAGTCAGATGTTTGATTGTAAATCAAGATTTAAAAAGCATGATTTATACTTTTTACTCGCTTTCTTTCAGGAACAGCTGGACAAGGGAAGACGACAGTTTATAGATGGAGAAGAACTTGAAGATGAGGAAGATGAAGACTTTGATGAGGATGCAGGGGATAGTTATGGTGAAGAAGATGCTGAAATGGAGATTCTTTCTGATGAAAGGTTGGAGTAAAGTAGCTTTAATTATCTGATTCTGTTTTTCTTTTCCATATATGGCATTGTGGTTGAATCCAGTTTTGAGATTTGTTTCTTTTCATCATACTTGATTGAAACAGTTTGTTCAAACATTATTATTTTTAAAACTTTTACAGATATTTCCATAATAAAGAAGATACTTGTACTGATGTATTTTTATTACGGTGTTTTAATTTGGTAGACAAAAAAAATAAAATATCCAAAAAGATATACATATTAGAAGCTGATGTTGCTTTGTGTAACTGATAGGTTTTGTTTTTTTAGTTTAATAATTTAAAATCACACTTGACTTGCACTATTTACATATTGTAATAATTTTATGGATTATTTAATCTTTTAAATATAAATTTACAAAAAGTAAACTCTATAGAATATTGTGCAGAAAAACTGACAAAACCTTGGTAAATCAGGCTTATTGCACATGATTTATAGTATTGATAAACATGTACATATTTTAAATTTTTAATCTGTTCAAAATATGTTTTATTAAAATGAATGCTTAAATTATTCAGCAAGTATTACTTTGGAATTAAATAACTCCTAAGTAATACATTCTTATACGATTGTTCAACTCTTCCCTGCTTACACTTTTCCAGACCTATTAATGACGAAAAGATTCAACAAAATAATGATGTCCCTGGAGAAAAAAGCAAAGATTCGGAAGAACAGAAACATGAAGCTGCACGCTGCTTACTCAACCTATCTTCCTTGCCAACAGTAACAAGTGAAACAAAAGGTATGTATTCCATATGCTTTGATAAGTTCTGAACAGTAAGTGGATCTTTGCTAGATTTGAACAATATTAGAGTACATTAAATGTTTAGCAATTACTTTTAGTTTATTGTTTTATCAACTTTTTTCGTGATTCTATTATGGTAAGGATGAAGTATGCTGACATATTTTAGTACTATATATCATGTAAATTTGTCATAAATGTGTATATAAGAAGCACCCTATCTTCTTTTGCCCTGGCAAATTAATTTGTAATAAAAGTATCAAGAATTAGTAGAATAGATGCAACAGGTAGATAGAAACAAAGAGGAATCCTCTGTGGCATACATACTGTGGTGCTAAACATACTGTCCATGGTGTCACATCATGTATCATTAGCATATACAAATCATTGTGCTTCCTGTTAACCAGAGGCCTGGCAGGGCCAGGTGGTTAGGGCGCTCGACTCGCAATCTGCTGGTCACGGATTCGAATCTCCGTCCCATCAAACATGCTTGCTCTTTCAGCAATGGGGATGTTATAATGTGATGGTCAATCCCACTACTTGTTGGTAAAAGAGTAGCCCAAAAGTTGGCAGTGGGTGGTGATGACTAGCTGCCTTCCCTGTAGTCTTGTACTACTAAATTAGGTATGGCTAGTGCAAATAGCCCTTGTGTAGCTTTGCGTGAAATTCAAAACAAACCAAACTTGTTAACCAGTAGGTGATCAAAGTAGGTGTTCTTGTAGAAACTTTTCTACAACATATCCATTGACAGATTACATTGCTGAACTGTATAACTGCCAAACATTAACCTCTACAGTTCTTAAATGATCCTGTGAACAAAACTTCAATGATTTTATTGATATCATGCATGCACTTGTTTAACTATAACTAAATAGCTATAGAAAATTTTATTTTATATTCTATATTTGAAAAGTAAATGTTTGTAAGCCATCATGAAAAAATTGAAATACGTAATCAATTATGGGACATCAATGGGTCTACTGAATCATCAAGGATGTCCTGATTCCCAACATACCTCAACAAACAAAATACTTAACACTAACCGTGCTTGTGATCCTACAAACATTTAACCTCTTTTTTTTTTAAACTCCTGTAAATTACAGCATCTACCACAAGATGGCAGTTTGTTCCACATTATTACTGCTGTACTAGAGAAATAAAAGTGCTTCAACTGTGCAAGTCTTTCAAATTGAGCTAAACCTTTTTCTTTTTCAGATCTGCCCTTTTGACTTGAGTATTGGAAAGTGTATAAAACTTTTGAGTTTTGATGTTTTAAACTGAATGTTTAGAAAATATTATAAAAATGTAAATATATGTTTAAAATCACCAAAAAGGAAGATTTAAAGTCAATATTTTGATCCAATGACCTTTGTTAGAACCATATTCTTTAGAGGTTTTAGTTATTTGGCTGTGTTTTCAGTGTTTATTGCATTTTAACTGCATTTGTTTGTTGTTCTTGGTACCTTGCAGAGAAAAATTTAGTGGTTTAACATGTCATGACCTATGTGTAAAAATGCTGAGCCCATCAGTTGAGACCACAGATATGTTGAAGATTAAGGACTTATTTTCTATAAGTATTTTATTGTTTGTAGAAGATGTGATTCAGTTCCTATAAAATATAACACTCTTATAAGGTTGGTGATGAGAAACCTACTCTGAGACTAATAAAGTTTAGAGACAGTTTGAATGGATAATGAAGAATGATATACAAAACCTTGTTGAAACATTATAGATTTGTTACTGAGTTAAAATTGTAGTAATATTCTTCGTAACTCATTTGTGTCATCTCTAAACTTTAGTATTTCTGTAAGAATGAATGAATGAATAATATACAAGTACTATATATATGCAATTCAAGATTTATCACTCTTTATGCTGTCACCCTAGATTTGTTATATTTTATATTTTAGTCATTTGCTAGTATACTAAGTAGTAGTTGTTGAATAACAGTATATTAATGTTAGCTGTTGATTATATGTTGAACAACAGTTCTGTTATAAATAAATTAAAAGTTGTGGTGGCTGCTACTCTTTAAAACTGAGTTTAACTACTTTATTATAACAGTTGAATAACAGGACATATCATAGTTCTTTGTATTATATGTTTATGTTTTAGATTTCCTCGGTTATTTATTCACTGTTTATCAATTTGAAAGATATACTGAATTCACTTACCAATCTTTATAAGTAAAGATTTTATACGTTTTGTATATTTAGTGTATTGTCATCCAAACAGTTTTTGCTAATGATGAATATTTAATGTCTTTTAGATGAGCCAGCAAATGTGATGAGCTTCTCACTTCAGGAAACCTTACAACTTCAACCAACAATATCTGATTCTAAAGAAGACTGTGTTTCAAAGAATTTGATTCCACAAAATAATAATGTTACTGATGTCAGTTTTTTATTAACTCCACCCTTACAGTATAGGTCTCGGTCATCCTCGGTTCACATTCCTTTATCTCCAGTTAGAAAACAAGATGCACCAACAATGATGGAAGGTCAAGTTATCAATCAGAGTACATCTTTTACAAAAGAATCAGCTGGCAATCGTCGCTATTCCTTTTCTGTTGTTGGAGAGTTGAGAAGAAACATACACTTATCAGAAAGCCCAAGGATTGATTGTGAACAATTGAGTATTAAAAGTGAAAATGAGGGACACTGCATGGACTTTCCATCCTTCTCTTCTGTTCCTTCAAACAGTGAGGATGAAACATCTGTATCAGGAGCTGATCAACCAATGGACCTGAGTGTTACACGAGATATGAAGATTGATGCAAAGGCTTCTGTAGACAGTAATCCTGGAGTTCCAGAAGAACCATTGGACAGCTTATTGGGTGCTTGTCTTCAGTATGGTAGTTTCACTGCTTTGAGGACTGGAGGATCGCAAATGGTTCTGAATTTATCTGAAGTAAAAAGACAATCACAATCTCCATGGGATCTTCAGCAACAAATTGTTTGTAGACAGTCGGTTGATGATAGTGTGGTACAGTTATCCCCAGTAACACCTCCATCACCAAATGATATTCCTCCAAAGACTTTCCTTCACAATGACCAGAGTCCAACCTCTTGTAGACCTCAGGCAGAATTTATTGTTGCTAAGTCTGGGTGTAGACAAAATTTAGATGATGGAAAGTGTGTTTGTGATATTTGTAATAAAACATTCACAAAACCCAGCCAACTACGGTTGCATGTGAATATTCATTATTTTGAAAGACCTTTCCGTTGTGACAGTTGTGTAGTCTCCTTTCGTACCAAAGGCCATCTGCAGAAACACAAACGTTCTGTAAGCCACTATAACAAGGTTAATATGAATCAAACATTTGGAACTCCAAGTGCTGATAATCCTCGACCTTTTAAGTGCAGTGATTGTAAAATAGCTTTTCGGATTCATGGACACCTTGCAAAGCATCTACGTTCAAAAATGCATATTATGAAACTGGAGTGTTTGGGAAGGCTCCCTTTCGGAATGTATGCAGAGATGGAACGGAATGGGACAAATCTGAATGAGATTGACACAACAGATGGTGACAGCTCATTAGAGAGTCTGCAGGCTATTGCACAACGTCTGTACCATCAAGAGCCCAGACAACTTATGTGGCAGCAAGAGAATACTTATGGAGTTGCCAAGTGTTCTTCAAACCCCCTAAGCTCTTCAGACTCAATCTGTGTATCATTCAGCCAAAATAAGAAACTTACAACCCCAATGACTGATAACTTTCAAATTAAACAGGAACCACAAGATGTTATTGACAGCCATTCACTCAAAAATGAGAGCGATTCCCTTTTATGGTCAGTTGATTTTAAAAAGGCTGGAAGTGTCTGCTTAGATCAGAATACACAGTTGCACCATCATCCTTTATCCTGCCAACATTGTGGTCAGTCTTTTGTGAGTGCCAAAACCCTTAGAGTACACACTTATTATCATCATGCTCAGTGGTCAACAGATGGAGCTACCAGTAGTTCTACACTAAGGCCTGTGTCACCAGTTATTTGTGGTAAAAGTCCACGAACACCTCAGAAATATGCCAGTGTACAAGAAAACATAGACAACATTTTAAGTTGTGATGAATACAGTCAGAAATGTGCCAGTCAGGGTGGTCTGCAGCAGGTGAGTTTTACCAAATCCATTGGAGAGAAAATTGTTTAGAATTAGAATAAGAATGACTGTTGTTTGTCAGTTGACTAATGATAATTATGGATTGAGTGGAATAAGGTGTTATGAAGTACAACAGTGCTTAAAAAGTTAAAATCTGAACAAAAAAACCTTCATATGCATTTCACTTTTCAGTATGATATTTCTTATGGTTGCTGAGCCACACTGGAATCAGTAAGCAGATAAAACACAGGATTTCTTTGTTTCCTTATCATCCAGATTCTCTTAATATTATCACTAGTGAACAGAGCATTGAAATAGTATGTGTTTTTCCTACTTGTGAGAATAGAAACTGTAGAGTAAACTAATAGATGGAAAATGCTTGTAGTGCTAACCTAATAATACGAATGACCCATTTAAGAAAATTGGTATTTTTTACCTTCCATCTAGCTTTTTTATCGTGAGTGTTACAGGTATCAAGTTAGTAAAAATGTATATATATTGATGTAAGAATCATTTAAAGAAAAACTAAATGTGGAGTTTTATTTATTTAATTATCTCAATTTAAAATTATAAAATACCTGTTATGACACTGAAAATATTAATCAACCTTACCTTTTCATATGACTTTATAGAGAATATGGATTAATATTTCACACATTGGTACCACAGTTAGTTCTCTACTAGTTATTGTAGTGTGTATGTTCTCTCTCTCACACACACACACACACACACACACACACACACACACACACACACACTGGTACCACAGTTCTCTACTAGTTATTGAAGTATGTTCACAGACTGGTACCACGGTTCTTTAATAATTATTGAAGTGTGTATGTTCACACACACTGGTACCACAGTTCTTTAATAGTTATTAAAACTCAAATGTACTAACAAACTTAGGCCAGAGAGTGAATACTTCTTTTATGATTTGTATCCTAACTGTAAATTTGTAATATTTCAAAGGAAATTGAAAACTTGACAGATAAATGGATAACATTATGACTAAATATCCTTGTTACAGGAAAACTCTGCTGTTTTATTTGAGTTTTTGTGTTGTATCATCTTCATAATTTGTGGGTCTAAGTCCAAATATAGCTATTTTCAGGCTAATAAATATGTCTGTGTCTTATGACTTCACAACTTAGTGTTAGGTATAGCAGTATGTTCAAAATGTAGGGCCTATTGTTTTAAACAAGAAAACACAGTTACTGACAGTTAATCTTAATTTCATTGAATACATTAGTTTTTATTGAAAATCATGTTTCAGTAGTAGGTGAGCAAAATAATATTTATAGAAAAAATTCATAGAATTTATAACTGAACTCAAGAACACCAGTGATTTTTTTTTCAGAAATATTTTGAAGTGCTATTTTCATTTTTTTACATAATGTTAACAATTGTGAAATGCATTTTTAGTTAATTTTTTACTGGAATACACAAATCATGTATAGATTAAGATATGTGACCAAGAAATGGAAGTTTTTATTCATTTTTTTTGGCACAAAATTTTGAGTACAATTCTTTCACTTTATGTTCGTGTGTTTCCAATATTCGTTAAAACAGATAAAGTGAATTTAAAACTTACAAACTGTTAGTATAGAAGTATGCACTTATTCTGTAACAGCAGACAGCATTTTTGTGCCAAGTGTGTGGACATGCATTTGTAGCAGCTCAAGATCTTCAGAAACATGTCCAGACCCATCACAGAGACCCATCTTAATCAAGAACCCAGGGCTGAAGTCATTGTATGCTCAAGCAGTCCCTGTTTTTACCGGTGGATTTAGACTGTTGTACATATATATGTATTGTTTGGTTGAATTAATAGTTTTGATGTTACAAAACCTTTTTGTATATTATAAAACACACCTGAAAAATTTATAGCTCTGGTAAGGTTATCCTGGTGGTTATGGTATTGTTAATTATCTTCTCAGGTAAAGAACCTGCACTTTTTTGTTCTTACTTACCATGTTTTTGTACAGTACACATCTATGTAATAGAAGTGCCATTACAGGAAATTATATGTATGTATTTTTGTAGAAACATGTATTAGATGTGTGTAAGTGAATGTGGTTTGCAAAATATATTTGTTTTGTGTTCATCCTGTTAGACATTGTCATAACTTGTTGAATGATGGTGCTTTGGCCATTATCTTGTATGTTATTAGTGTTTTCATGGCTGATTTTAGAGAGTTATATATACAAGAGTTAAGTTTTGTTTGTCTTGTACTAAGTGGAAGAATTCATCCTTTACTTCCAAGTGCATTGTTATGTCTTAATCCACATGGATCAAGACCTCCACCCATTGTTTTATTCTTGTTGTTCTGTTGATTTTTAAAATGTGTTTCAAATGCTTTCTCACGGTTGAGTAAAGCTATCTCAGTTAGTTTTTCATGGCCATTGTATCAAAGCACTTTTTGTGATGTCATTAGTCCTTTCTGTATATGTATATATATGTCTGTGTGTTTCCTTCATCTTACTGTGTGTAACATAATGATTTCTTTGTAATGCACATACTCCTTGATCTGCCATCTGGCAAGACAGTGAGTATTATATGATATTTTTTAAAAACAGACACAAGTAAATTTTACAATAACTTGGAAGGTACATTAGTTTTCTGTATAGAGAAGTATAATATAGATTATTTTTTAATTTGATACTGGTAGTCTACCTGTAGTACTGTTTAATAATATATCATTCCAGGTTTCCTACCCATTTGGGAGTTGAGTTAGTGAAATGTAAAGCATAGCTTCTGATTTGATACGACAGGAACATTATCTCAATAACATGTTTTGCAATATTATAAGTTTTTATTATAACTAATTTAAAATAAATACCTGTTTTCACTTACCTACAAAAATAATGTTGATACAAACATGTTGAAGGACTACAAAATTATTTATTAACATTTTCAAAATAAAGTTATAAACTTTAAAAGAATTAATGTGAAATATCTTTAAATGGTGCAGCAATAGAACTGTACTCAGTACCATGGCAGCATTAATTTGAAAATTCAAAGTATGGCTACTTTAGCTGAAAAAAGTTGTTTAATTACTAATACAAATGAACTGTTAAAAAAAATCTAAAGGTAAATTTAACTTGAACTGTGTAAACAAATCTAAAGTGAAGTTCAATGTACTTGTTGGTACCTTTCTTTGTTGATATAAGCTAAATAACCTTTTTTAAGTCTTGTCTCTGCTGTATTCTGTTTTGTTGTTTCTAATTATATTTTAATCAGTTGAGTCTTTACACAGTGGAATCATTTTACTTCTGCTAATTTATTTGTTTTGTAGCGATATTATGTCTCGGTTCATTTGATTAAATTTTGGCTTCAACATGCTGATAAGGAAACTTTCATATACAGAGACTTGCATTCATCATTAGCTTTAGTTAAGATCATAAAATTATTTGGATGTACAGTTACATACTGGTCCATTGCATGTTTTAGTACATTTAATTTTATAGATATTCATATTTGCATGCTTATTTACACTGACTTTTAAGTAAAAAATGTTCTCTAATAGAAGTAAAGTATTTCGTAGAACTCGTTTGACCCTTAGGAGTATGTATATGTGATTTTCAATTGCTTATCTGTAAAAGTAATGACAGATACAAAGTTATTCATAAGTAGTACATAATACAAAATAGTACTGTTTATTTTAAATTTATTAAACAAAACTTTAACTACCACTAAGAAAAATTAGAAAAGGAACTGTGTGTTTTTTGGTAAACTTACAGACGAGGTAGAAAAAGGTTATAGCCAAGACAAGGCTGAAGTTTTGGAAGTAAGCATGACATTTGTGTTGTATATGTTACATGTATGTGAGTTATTAGTATATTCACAAGATGGTAATTGTTTAAAATCTTTCATAGAATAATACTTTGTTCTTATTGGTCACATAGTTAAGTGTACCTTTTTGCTCAGATAGAAGAAGTATTGTTTGATATAGATATGTCTTAGAAAGTACTTTAAAGAATCTAGGTAGTCTCTGAGACTTGCATCTCATGTAAGTAGTTAAATTCATTGAATTTGATAGGGTAGAAATGGTTCTGTGGAGTTCTATAAAGCCAAATAGTATTGATGTAGTGATATACCTTGTGGTTCTATAGTTATTAAAATATTAAAGTACATAGTATTGATACATATTTAAAAAAATCACAACTGAAAAGATAGAAAAAATATTAATTTATATCACTTGCAGAAATACCATAGCTTTCAACTTATTTTTTGGCACTCTATGGAAAATCTTATTGAGGTTGTCATCACAACCAAAACACCATTAGGCTTACTCTGCACTTGTTAATACAGATTTGACATCTCACAATGTATGCATAGGGTTTATTTTCATACTAACCATATTAATTATTGTAAACACATTCAACTAAAGGGCATAATACCAAAAAAAAACTTTCTCCCACTAGTTTTGCAAAATTTTTATAAAAAATAGTTAGTTTGTTCTTTTGTTATTACTAGTTTATATACATAGAGTTGAAGTTTGAAAATTTCAACTTTATTTGTGCCGAAAAAAATTGTTAGTTTGACACTAGTAGATGTTGCAAGAATGCTTACTCTAGGAATCTTGCAAATTCATTCAAGTAATGTAGAATTAAAAATGGCTCGAACTTTAAGTAATATTTCATGTATATATATCTATATATATATATATATATATATATATATATATATGTATGTGTGTGTGTGTGTGTGTGTGTGTGATCTTATTTCAATTTATGTTAAAAATGTTTGAAAAAGTGCTTAAGTGTATTATGCACTATGTACATTTGAAAAAAAAAGTGCTTGTTATAGAATTTTCTGTGTCAATAAGTACTTGTAGGGACAAACGTAAACTGTTTTGTTTAACTAGATAAACTGGAATTCTTGTGTTCTTTAAGATTTCTTTAATGCCATGCAAATTTTTCTCGGTGTTCAGTATTTTCTTTTGTGATTTATGTCATATTTTGATTGGTTTACTAAGCTTTGAATGAACAACTTGCATAAATAGTCATCTTATTGGACAGTGTTTTGTTCACTTGCTTGCATCTGATTTATTGATTTGAATTTTCCATTGGTTAAGTGGACTATACATTCTTTCAGTTAGTGTGCTCTTACATTATAAATGTGTTAGAAAATAAGCTTGATGCAAATGACCTTTTGTAACATATTACCTCAGGTAAGTTACATTATAAAAATTATGTGCATACAACTATTAGAAATATTTAGTCTCAGGAAATCAGCTGTTACTGTTTCTTGCAAGAAGACAATTTTGAATTGCAGCATTGTGTGCCAAACTGCTCATTGACTAAATTACAGAATTTTATAACAATTTGAAATTGGAAGATTTATAAAGTTGTTTCTATGTTAAGAGAAAGTTGCATTTAATTATTTTTAAATCAAAAATTTTAATATTTAATAAGTCAAGTATGTAACATTTATTTATGTTATACATATGTGATTTTATATATGCATGTCTGGTTCTAAAAAAATACTGATATTAAAGTAATAAAATAAATTCATGTCGGTGAAATAGTTATTTGCAATTGTTTTCATTCTTGCTCCCCTTCCAATATGTGAAACATGTTATTTTTTGTTGTTCATTTTCTAGGTGTAACAGGAAACAAAAAAATAAATTCTATTCTAAGCTAAATTTTAGGATTATATTTTTGCTTGAATGTTTCTGACTGCTTTAATGCAGAAATAACAGCAATGTTTATATATATTTAGTGCTTGTATGTTCTCATTGGCCCACCTTTGTATACCTGCCCTGTGGATTTTGTAAATACTTTTTACACTTGTTATGGAAAAAAAAAAATTATTATTTTTCATGTTATATTTTAAGAAGTTGATACTTGAATTGTAATGCTGTGTTCAAAGAGAACCATATGTTTTAATATAATTTAAGGTTATTGTTCTTCAGTAAAGTAAATATTTTAAGTTATCACTCAGAAAATGGTTAGGGATACAATCAATTAAGTTTGAAGGTGTTCTTGTTATGTCAGAATGTTACATTGATTACAAACAGTAGTTAAGATGGAAATCTAGAGGGGGGGGGGGTAGTGCCCAGCTCACTAGGTCCTACCCCATCGAAAAAATGTAAAACAACATCTAACTAATACAACATTTTGAAGACCTGTTTGTTTGTTTTTTTATGTAGTTTCTTCACAAGTATTCAGTTATCTTATGACACTGCTTGAACTCCCTTTGGCTCCTTGTTCCATATAAAATAGGTGGCTCTCCTTAGCAATTTTCTTATTGCGGGACTGGGCACCCTTGGTTCCGCCCTCGCTTCAACCACTGATTGTGAATGAATTATACATTGTTTATATATAGTTGAAAAAAATTATATTGGTGCAAAGTTGTTATAGTTTACGACCACATCAAAGGTGTGACATTGAAGAGAAATTGAAAGTAGTTTCTGTATAGAATTATCCATCATCAGTTTAAAAGAAATTGTTTATAAATAAAAATAATAGTCTTTGCTCATTTTTACGTCATTTTGGATGTGTATAAAAATTATGGGACATTTCTGCCCTTGCTCTGATTTGTTTGTTTCTAGCGCAGAGCTACTCAATAGGCTGTCTGTATTCTATCCACTGCGAGGAATCGGACCCCGGATTTCAGCGTTGTAAGACCGTAAACTTACCACTAACCCACCTGAGGATTTTGCTCTGATTTATTGCTCGTTTTATTTTTATAATTTTCGAGCGCCACCAACATTTGTGTGACAGTTTTATACGTATTACATAAAACACACTTATGATGTAAAATTTGTGTCAAAATATCCTACATGTTTATGTAACAAGTTAAGAAAGTAACATTGAAATCATTAAGTTTAAGGCATTATCTTAATTGTATTTTGTATTACGTTTTTGTACCTACAAATCTCAACAATTATAAAATTACCCACATTTTTCTTGTGTTACTTGTGACAATAGACACATGAATAGAAGAACCTAATAATTACGGTGAGTTTTGTTAAGTTTATTAGCTCATACGGTCTTTGCAGTGTAAATTACATAGCCGAAAACCCATTTCATATAAGAATTCATGGATATTCCTTTTTAAGGAAATATTGGAAGTGTAACCTCACCAGAAAACAAAAACCATTTTTTTGGAAGGAGAGTGGATTGAACAGGGGGTTAAAATGTAAAATAAAGATCTGAAAATTTTGATGTCTTGTTTAATTCATGTCGTTTGTTGAAATATAAATGCTTATTTCGTATATAATTATGTACATTATCTAAATATCGCAAATGATCGAATCTTTTGTTCTTCCAATAGTTTCCCAATAATATTAGGAGAGAAGTCGCTTACAGAGATGTTTCTTTCTGTACTGTTTTTTTTTTTTCATTTAAAATAAAAGGACGCGCAAGGCTGAGGAAAGTTCATTTGAAGTCTTGTGGAAAATGTTTTGAAGTGTCTCCCGCGTCCTTCACGTACTTTGTTTTTGTTTGTTTGTGTTTAGGTCACTGACTGTTACATAATTTAGCGCCAGATGCAGGATAATTACTTCGGTACACTTGCACCCGTGGCCTTATAGAACGTTTGTTATTCATTCACTAGTATTATCGTTTTACACATTCCACATTTAACTCATTTTTTCAAGTTGTTTTTCTTTTTTGTAATATAAGATATTGATTAAACATATATATATATATATATTGTTCGTATGTTGTAACGCCTGGTACTACAGCATTATTTTGTTTGCAACTGTTTTCATGTTTTATAAAGCAGTGTGAATATTGAACATACATATATATATATATATATTGTTCGTATGTTGTAACGCCTGGTACTACAGCATTATTTTGTTTGCAACTGTTTTCATGTTTTATAAAGCAGT